ACATGGTCCAACTTGCAATGATCAATTGGACTGGGGAGTACATCTAAAAAGACCAGCATGAAGATCAACTCTTTTTTTTAATGAGCAGATTGACGGAGTTATTTTTTGACCAGGAGGCGATGATCGAGGGGAGATTCTGATGTCTGGATTTCAGCCCCCCACCTTCTTCCATGTTAGATAACCTTCGTCTCCTTTCTCAGCCTTCCGCCTTTCTTTCTTTCTTTCTTTATCCACTCCTCTGTTTCCCTTCTTTTACTTTTCTTTCTCTCCAGTCTTCTACTCTGTCATGCCCAGCAGGCAACATCCCTTTCTTGTCTTTTTGCCCCAAACCGCGTTCCCAATGCCTTACATGTGGCCCTCCACAGTCTCCTTCCCTTCCCACCCCCACGCTCTTTTCTTCCCCCAGATCTCTGATTTGATGATGATGACCCAGATCTGAAAATCCCCAAACCCCCCACCAATTCTCGAAAAATTTGATTTTTTTTTGGAAGAAAAATCTGTGGCGATGGCGGAAAATGGCGAGGAGAAGCTCATAGCAGTGGCCAGGCACATAGCGAAGACTCTGGGTCACACTGATACTATGACCGATGACATTCTTCAGATTTTCTCCAACTTCGATGGCCGCCTCAGGGAGAAGCTCGCCGACGACGACTCTCGCGGCTGCGCCGCCCTGGATCGGACCCTCAAGTCTCTGGACCGTCAGATCTCCCGGTACGTGTCGGTTGAGCATCCCGTTTGGTCCGATTCTGCGGATTCGATCGCGTTCCTGGAAGCTGTGGATCAATTGATTTCCGCGATTCGCGATTGGACGCCGATGGGGAATGAGAAGCCGGTGGCTGCCTGCTTGGACCGGGCGGAGGATTTGCTTCAGCAGGCCATGTTTCGTCTCGAGGACGAGTTCAAAACCCTAATGGAACGCGGGGCCGAGTCCTTCGATCTGACCCGTTACAAGACCCGCGATTCTGCGACTGCGGATTACTCGTCGGACTCGGAGGATGCCGATGACGACGACGACGACGACGCCGAGATTCCGGTGGCGCATCCGATCAGCAACTACGACATAATCATCGACGCCTTGCCGGCGGGGACGATCGGCGATCTGCACGAAATCGCTAAGCGGATGGTGGCGGCTGGGTACGGGAAGGAGTGCTCCCACGCGTACAGCACTTCCCGGAGGGATTTCTTAGAGGAGAGCCTCGCGAGGCTCTGCATACAGAAGCTGAGCATCGACGAAGTGCAGAAAATGCAGTGGACGGAGCTAGAAGACGAGATCGAGCGGTGGATGAAGGCAGTCAACGTTTCCGTCCGGATTCTCTTCCCCAGCGAGCGCCGCCTCTCCGATCGAATCTTCTTAGGCTTATCCGCGGCCGCCGACCTCTCCTTCATGGAGGTTTGCAGAGGCTCCACAACTCAACTACTCAACTTTGCAGACGCCATAGCCATTGGCAGCAGAGCTCCAGAGAGACTCTTCAAAGTGCTCGACGTCTACGAAACCCTAAGAGATCTGTTGCCGGAGTTCGAATTGCTATTCTCCGATCAGTACTGTTTGTTCCTGAGAAATGAAGCTCTGACCATATGGAAGAGGCTTGGAGAATCGATCAAGCGGATCTTCATGGAGTTGGAGAATCTGATCCGCCGCGATCCGGCAAAATCCCCTGTTCCCGGCGGCGGCCTCCATCCAATCACAAGATACGTGATGAACTATCTCCGTGCTGCTTGCAGGTCAAGGCTCACTCTTGAGCAAGTCTTCGAAGACACCCTCTCCCCCAGCAATGATCTTGACCTATCATCTTCTTCATCCTCCCCATTAGCCATTCAGATGGTGTGGATCATGGAGTTACTGGAGAGCAATCTGGAGGCCAAATCAAAGATTTACAGAGACTCTGCTCTGTCCTCCATCTTCATGATGAACAACAGCAGGTACATTGTCCAGAAGGTGAAAGACAGCGAATTGGGGGCGCTGTTGGGGGACGATTGGGTGAGGAAGCACGGGGCCAAAGTCAGACAGTTTCATGTGAACTACAAGAGGAGCTCATGGAACAAGATTCAGGGGGTTTTAAAGATTGACACCTCTCTCCCACCAAACCAAGCAGCAAAGGCTTTGAAGGAGAAACTCAAGATGTTCAACACCTACTTTGAGGAGACATGTAGAGCGCAAGCGACATGGGTGGTTTTTGATGAGCAATTGAGGGAGGAGTTGAGGATCTCTGTCGCGGGGACACTCTCTCCGGCTTATAGGAACTTCATTGGGAGGTTCTATAATGTTTCGGAGAGCGGGAAGCACGCGGACAAGCACGTGAGGTATACTGTGGAGGAAGTCGAAGCCCGGATTAATGAGTTGTTTCAAGGCAACGGCGGTAGGAAGTGAAGACCAAACCAAGTTTTGTGAATTCTTGTGTTGTAACATGTTGTAGAATGCCTTGTAATGTTATGACCATCCAACTATTGATTGAGCCTGCAACTTAGTGATTGGTCTGTGCTGAAGAATATGTATGTTGTTTGGACAATATTGTGTCTGGCTACATTCCTACATTGTACCATATGATGTGTACCTAAAACCAAATGAATACTATTTGAAACATTTGTAACACTTTAGCGCTCAATTCTCAAATTAATACAATTGCAGAGGTTTCTTGGCATCAATACAATTGCAGAGGTTTCTTGGTATTAATACAATTGCAGAGGTTTCTTGGTAATGTTACACTTGTGTATAAAATCAAACCAAAATTGGAGACTCGGTCAAGTCGATGATTATCTGAGGACAAACAGCAGAAAACCTTCTCTTGTTATTTCCACTCCTAATTGGAGGAGTGCATATGTCTATGATCTCAACCTCGCGAGTACGGTTATCTGTAGCCAAACACGGATGTTGATTGACCGTTACTGTTTTCTTGGGCAACTTATTGGTCTCAACAAGTGTAAGTTCATCTTCTTCACCTTCTGCCACATTATTACATCTGATGAGAAATGGTGAAATGAACTCTGGATGTAACGGTCCGTTACCATCTTCACTTGTGCTGGAATTCTGGCTGCAAGTCAATTCTTCTGACCCTTCCTCCTCAATCCCATCATCATGAATGCCATCATCATCATGTCCTAATGAATCCCAGTCAATCCCAGAATAACAAGGCAGATCATCCATGGAAGAAACTCGGACCTTCATCTGTTCTGGCAGATTTGGACAACCGGCAGCATGCTTCATGTACTTGGTTGAGAAGAAGTTTATAGTAAGGTTCAACCTGATATATGCACACATGAAACAATAATCACGATTACATTTTCTCCGTCCTGTAATGATCTGTTTGGAACTCGAAAAAACGCCAGGGAAAGAAAGAAATTAAATGCATACCCTTGCCAAGCAGGTAAAGTGAGCATTGTGAATGCCAGTTTGATCTTACTGCCAAGCCCTCCTAAACTTTTTAAAGATCCAACTGCCTCTCTCACTGCTAATGACTCTCTTGGATGCTGCCATGCCCACTCAAACTGCACCATGAAATCAAGCAAAAAACTTCTTTAGATTCGTCTTGCTATGAATGTGTCCCTGGAATTGTTGTTCAAATCGACATTTTTCCTACCGATCTCTTCTAACCCGCTATTACAACTTCTGTGATTCATAAAAGTTGAATGTATACGGACACACATCATGTCTACATTCTTAATGTATCAGGAAGGTCTTAATGGTGAAATTTGCAGGAAAGAACTGAAAATCCAATAAATCGGAGAGAAAACAGAAAATCATAAAGAACAAGATCCAAAATTTAAGCTAATCATACAGAACAAGATCCAAATTTCAAACTGAAATCCCCGGAAAAGAAAAACCTGCAAAGCTGCAACTTGTGTGGGGAAGCCATAGATGCACAACACCATCTCCCATGGGCGCTTCCGCTTTGTCCTTAGAGCGCCGCTCGTGATTTCCCCATTGTGCTGCCTTATTCTCCGACGCGGATTCACTGTAAATCTGCACGAATCAAGAAACCCATTTCTTCAGATCATCAATGAGGAAGGAAGGATCTTGGATCTATGATTCCAATTAAAGATCTGTTTTTTTTCATTGAAATAAAATAAAAAAGAGAATTAATTGCAGAAAATCTGAGACATACCCGATGTAAGTGAAACCCTTGAATCTGGGCGACAAAGAAGTAAGCAAATAGCAGCCAAAGAAACCGCCAGATCCACCTTCGTTTTCACATCTTGGATCTGCCTTTCTTTTCTTCGCCAGAATCATCGGATTTTCTTGGACATTTTTCCCTGTTTTCCTTTTCCCCA